CGCGTTCGCGTGGTGTCTAACGCGTTCGCATAGGGTAAAGTCAGGAGTCAGCAAAGTTGTTCTTCGCAATTGCGATGGTATTTCCGCGATCGCGATTAAGAAAATAACTGGGCATAATTTTAAATGTTCAAAACGAGGGTTTGAGTTCATAATTCTAAAATTCAATAGAGAGCTCGGTTGAAGGCGATTTTTTAGGGGATTTTCATAGAAGGGAATGGGCCTTCTAGTTTTGTGACACCCCGATGTCGGGTTTTTCTTCCGCACTTTGTTATTCTGACTTATATTATGAAGTTTTATTAATTAATAGCTTAAAGACATCTTCATTTCGGATTATCGGGTTGCTTGGTAAAAGAGTCGGCTTGCCTAGTTCTACGTTAGACGTCATTACGACATGGTAAATTTGGGTCGTGACAAGTAGAATATCGAACAAGTAAAAGTGAACAAATGAAGTATATCTCAACAAAAAAAATAAGTATATCTAAAAAAACCATAGTGTATCTGTCTAACGTATTATGCTTGGTCTTCTCATGGGTCATTAGGGAGAATCAAGAAAGATAAAATTCTTGTTTATCGAAACTTACGTGCAAAGCATGAAGTGAAAAGACATGTCTCGTATAAGTGAATTTTTTTTTGCCCCTTCAGCTACAAGTAAGTATGAAACTATGCAAGAAAAAGAAAGAATCAAGCTTATCATTTTGCAGAAGAGGAGAAGACTTTTGGCAATTTATTGTTTAAAGTAGGAAAATCAACTAAGAGTATATAATTTGAAGAAATGCAAGGGTCACTGTCCCTTGAGCTTCAAGAAAAAACTATACATTATCAAACTTAGCGAAGAATATTAAAAGGAACAAAAAGACACTCCTAAAACCTGGCCTGATACATAATACATTGAGGGAGTCAGACGGGAAATTAATTATTTCCAGCTTGAAAATGACTAATACAATTGATTATTCTTTCTTTTTCATAGTTAACAAATTGGAAAGGTTCAACTCAATAATAATAAAGAAACAGGTTACTGAGATGTGAACTCGCAAGCTAAACATTATTGTCTATAGGGACTGTACATATTAATATGTTGCGGAATATCGTGGGTTAACTAGCACACAATCACACACAAAACAAATAGAGAAGAAAAATCAACACAAGGATTTAACGAGGTTCGGCCAAGCCTAATCCTCGGGGCAAAAGCAAAGAGAGTTTTTCACTATGAATGAGAAGAAAAGCACAATACAATCTGTAGAATCCCCAACTACAACCCCTATATATAAATCCCAAAAGGTCCCAAACATATATGAGAAATGTTTCCAAATTTGACAAGGACTATAGGTTTTTCTTTCCCAAATCTATTAGGACAATGAGTTTTCCTAAACCTATAGGGACTGTGGGTTTCGTAAAAATACAAGGAAATAATTCAAGCCACAAATAACAAATCTTCCCCTTGGCTTGAATTCTCTTCATCAACAGGAACAACGTCTCTCTACCTTGCCCTCAGCCCTCGCAAGGGCTCTATCCATTTTCGCATACATCAACCAAGTCTAGGCAACACCTAAACTTGTTAAGAGACTCAATCTCTTTAGCCATAGCACTAATCCGTCAATTTGGTTCTATACTCGGAATAGCTTCTAGATAGCTATAATACTCAAACGCATCAACGGTCTCTGCAACCGCCAAAGCAAATCCCACTGGATTCGTATATCCAAGAAGATTCCCATCAACTACGTTTGCAAACCTTTGCAGTCGGTTGATCACTCTCTTCTCTATACCTGTTGCAATGCTATAGGGTTGTTGCGCAGGTACATCAACATTATCGTCTTGATCAATATTTTGCACCTCCTCCACTTCCTCTACTTTAGAACTACTGGGCTGAGCTAGTGGAGATTCAATTTCTAGCTCTATGTGGTCACTGACACCACGATCTGTTTCTGCTATTGCCTTCTCCCTCTGACTATCCAGTGAGGCAAATTCATTGAATGTTACATCCCTACTAATAATTAGTCCTGGAGTCTTTTGATATGTGCACCACAACTTATAACCTTTCACTCCAATTGCATACCCTAGAAATATGCACTTCTTTACCCTCAGCTCAAGTTTTCCATCCCTCACATGAGCATAAGTAGGACAACCAAATATTCTTAAATTTGAATAATCAGCAGGCGAACCGGACCATACCTCAAAAGGAGTTTTGAACTCAATAGCTGTGGATGGAGATCTATTGACCAAATAACAAGTTGTATTGATTGCTTCAGCCCAAAAATCTTTGCTAACACATGAGTGTGAAATCATGTTTCGTGCCCTATTACAAAGCGTTCTATTCATACGTTCTGCAATATCATTTTGTTGTGGTGTTCCGACACAAGCGCGGTGTCTCACTATGCCCTCCATGCTGCAGAAATTATCGAACTCAAAATTGCAAAATTCCAACCCAGTGTTAGTTCGAAGACGTTTAACTTTTCTTTCTATCTGCCTCTCAACCATCGTCTTCCATTTAACAAATGTCGAAAATGCGTCATCTTTTGTTTTCAGAAAATACACTCACACCATCCTTGAGTAATCATCAATCAAAGTCATAAAATACCTGGCACTACTCTTGGAGGGAACTCTGTTTGGACCCCACAAGTCAGAGTGTATATAATCTAACTTGTCTCTGGTCTTGTGCTAGGCCTTCTTGATGAACTTTACCCTTGTCTGTTTACCAAACACACAATGTTCACAATAATTCAAAACTTGATTTTTGTACCCATTCAGCAAATTCTGCTTACTCAACAAAGACAATCCATTATCACTCATATGACCAAGTCACAAGTGCCACAACTGAGACTGATTCAGATCACTTTTTTCAGAAGCTACAACAATTTCCCCTTCAACTACACTGGCCTGAAGATGATACAATTTAGAATGTAGTTTACCATTCATAAGTACCATGGAGCCTTTACACACTTTAAGTATTCCATTCTCGGAGTGAAATTTATACCCTTGATCATCCAAAGTCGAAAGAGAAATCAAATTTCTCTTTATCCGAGGAACATGCCAACACTCAATGTTTCTGATAATTCCGTCGAACATTCTCAATTTGATGTTACCAACCCCCTCTACTGGTAATGGATTATCATCTCCCATATAGACAGTCCCACTCATTTGTTTGTAAGTTGCAAACCAATTCTTGTGTGGATACATGTGGAATGTAGCACCGGAATCAAGAACCCAAGAATTTTGCCCATGACTGAAACTCATAGCACAAACTTCCACTACATAATCACTATCATCAGAATTATTGCTAGTGTCAACAATATTTGCCGAATTATCTATTTTCTGCTTCCCTCTTTTCTCCTTCAGCTTAGGACAATCTCTCTTGTAGTGACCTTCTCCCAGCACTCATAACAGTTTTGCTTCCTTGCTCTAGACTTTGATCTGGCGGTTGACTTTTTCCTGTTAAAGTCCTTTTGTTGTGTTCTTCCTCTAATTACAAGACCCTCGCCCTCAATTCTGTTGTCTGGAAAGCTCTTTTTCAACTCTTTAGATTTTAGTGCATTACTAATATCTTCTAGTGAAATGCTATCTTTCCCATATAGCAGTGTATCGACAAAAGTATCATAAGACTGTGGTAAAAAACATAATACAATCAAGGCCTGATCCTCACTCTCAATTTTGATACCCACATTCTTCAGGTCTATTATAATTGAATTAAATTCATCAAGGTTTTAACAGGTGTACTTTCGCTCATACGGAGATTGTATAACCTCTTTTTCAGGTAGAGGCGGTTTGTCAGCGATTTCTTAGAATACAGATCTTCTAGCTTCTTCCATGCCGTTGTTCCAGAAGTTTCTTCAGCAATTTCCCGAAGAACGCTATCTGTAACGCTCATGAAGATCGCACTCAAAGCCCTCTCCTTTAGGTCTTCCTTCTTTGTCTCTTTCATATCTTCAGGAAAATCCTCATCAATTGGTTTCCATAATCCTTGTAACACCAGGGACGATTTCATCCTAATTTTCCATAGACTGAAACTAGAACCTCCGTCAAATTTCTCTACTTCGTACTTTGTTGAAGATGATGAAGACATCTTAACCCTAAATTATGTGTAGAAACCCGAACCTTGCTCTAATACCAATTGTTCCGGAATATCGTGGGTTAACTAGCACACAATCACACACAAAGCAAATAGAGAAGAAAAATCAACACAAGGATTTAACGAGGTTCGGTCAAGCCTAATCCTCGGGGCAAAAGCAAAGAGAATTTTCCACTATGAATGAGAAGAAAAGCACAATACAATCTGTAGAATCCCCAACTACAACCCCTATATATAGATCCCAAAATGTCCCAAACATATATGAGAAAGGTTTTCCAATTTGACAAGGACTATAGGTTTTCTTTTTCCAAATCTGAGTTTTCCTAAACCTATAGGGACTATGAATTTCCTAAAAATACAAGAAAATAATTCAAAGCCACAAATAACATAATATTTGATTAATGTTGAAGAAATTAAAGCTAATAGAAGCATATGGATCACTGATTAACATGTGCTTGACATATGATCCAACTATTAATGTTGGGTTTGCACTTGGAACTCTGGCGCTTGCTAAAATTTGATTATTTCGATCCTAACACATAATATTCACGGGTAGCAAAACAAGACGCGGTTAAGGCATTTAAGAATTTAGTCCAAATATAATCCAATTAATATAAGTAATATGTCCCTTTTTATATCAAGGACTATATTTACTTGTTAACTTGTGTATTTTTTTTCGCTTTTTTCTACTTCTCATCTACTTGATGTGCATTTGCCAAAGATCAAAACTGATTTTGTTCACAACTACTGTGGTAAAAAAGTTTACTAATCAATTGCAGAGACACCTTGAACCTAGAGTATCACTCGTCACAACTTTGTCGGAAATTTTAACTAAAATTATTCTATCTTCTTAAACAAAAACACTCCAATATGTATACAATAGACGATACTATTGAAAATAAAAAAGATAAACATCAATTTGGAACAGAAGATAAGCTTTAGAATTCCACTGATCCAAGTTTATGTACAAGGCAAATAATGACAATAAAGTTGGATATAAAAGAAAACGCTACAAATTGGGGACGAGGTTATCATTATGCAATTTGGAGAAGAGGAGAGACTTTCGACAAACAGGGCAAGTAGTATTGATCTTCAACCACTTATCAACACAATCAAGATGGAAGCAATGTTGGCATTCAGGCATACACTTTGCTATTTCTCCTGCTAAGTATTCAGCCAAACATATTGGGCAACTTGATTCGTTCTTACAAGCCGGAACAAGTCGCCGGTTTTCACCAATAACTATTTTTGTGTATGACTGAATCGTAAACTCATCAAGACCGGTGCCGGTGCCGGATTCCGCCGCTGACTCGGTGGTCCCGCCGCTGCTGGTTTGTCGATGTTGCCGGTGAATGCCTTCAGCGCGAAAACGAAATACTATACAGAGTACTAACAATATGGTTGGTACAACAAGACATAGCGTAACTATTAGAACGAAGATGATTAATTGATGAGTTGCCATTGATTCTGGAATATTCAACTGAATCGCATCCTTATATATATTACCAGCCAGATCATCAATATACCATGTATTAAGTCAACTAGTTATGATCGAGTACTAGTTAAAAGTTTTTTGTTCAATAATGTGCAATGCTCGCTATATTATATCATCCAGTTGAGATTCTTTTATTGTTGTGTGACGCTTATTGTAATAGATAAAATAAATTGGAAAGTCACTGTTACCCCTGCCACACTTTTTTTTCTTTTAATTTGATGGGACGATTTAACTACAGTTAATCAGTTTTATGCAAAATTGGGACGAGAGTTTAAAACTGAAAGAATTACGTTTTTAATGGGGCATTTGCATCTATACCCGTTTTTTGTGTCATGTTTTAATTTGTGTCCGCTTTGCAAAAAAAATTGCAAGTGTACCCGCTTTTTCGCATAACTTCAGCAAACGGGGCTGAAGTAGCAAAGACAATCACGCAAAACTTCAGCATTCTAGTAGCCGGGCCTGAATTTCAGCTCTAGACCTGAAGTTTTTGTTTTGTAACTAGCGAACTTCAGCTGTAGAGCTGAAGTTTTTGTTTTTATAACTGGCGAAAGTTTTTATTTGTAACGGGCAAACTTCAGCTCTAGAGCAGAAGTTTTTGTTTTGTAACTATCGAACTTCAGCTGCGGAAGTTTTCTATTTTTGGGGAGGAAGATTAACCTTTCAAATTCCATATTCTAAGTATGGAGATGGCTTCATTAATTTATTCTAGATCAGCAGTGTTTAATTTTCTTAAACGCTCAGAGTTAGCAGCCAACCTCAGTTGGAAAGACCTTTATCTCCACTCTTGGTTTATACAATTTCTGATATGAAGAAATTGATATGACATGAGCATTGATATCATATATATGGTTGTATTTATCAGCTTCTGCAACAATAAGTTCTAAAAACAGCTGGTTATATTAGCTATGATGTGTGAAGGACAAGTTGCTGCGGCAATGTTTGTTTTTTCAGTTCTAATGATTTTGTTAGAAATCTTTGGAATAAAGATTAAAAACTAGCTATGGCGGAATACAGAGATCTAAGAATTTGGAATAGCTAGTTCAATAGAGGAAGCTTAATTATGATGGCTATGGCGTCATTTCTTTTTGTAGAGGAGAGAACAAGATGATAAATACAACCATAGTGTTGTACGGTGGGCCGGGCTGGGACCGAGACCGGGACCGGGCCCGCGGTCCTAACGGGCTAAACGGGCCTGGTGGGCCGGTCCTGGTGGGCCGGTCCTTAATGGTGCAAAAAGCCCGTGGCGGGCCGGGTATGGTAAAAAAGCCCACGAGCC